GGGGGGGGGGGGGGGTGGGGGGACACAGTAAGGTACTGGGCGTTTTTTACTTTAATGCAGAGAATGTATTAATGTATTGCCTTTAGAAATTACAGATCCACATTGATTTGTGCCATCGGTCTGGAATTCAGATTTATCATATTTGTTTGAATACCCCTAGAGACAGCACCAACAGTGCCGCTTAGATCTCTTATACTTCCAAGGTCTCCTGTCCCAATATGGCAACACATGCTGCATCTCCCCATTCCCTAGAAGTCTGCAAATAGCAGTCAGTAGGAGTACTGTAAGGTAAGTTCTGTTATTTCATACCTACTGTGTACCAGTTAAATTAGCATTATATATTTTTTTTATAGTCACTACAGGTACATTTGACATTACAGAAGTTGTTTCAAGGCTATTTAGGAGGTAAAATCCCTTCAACATATTTTGAGTCCTTTCTGGGGCCTACCCTAGCTGAACAAGCATGGAACAATTCCACTGGGATCCTATATCCATACAGAAGGCCAAACTAGGTGCACTAGCTATTCTCAGTTCATAGAAACAATGGGGTCTATTCACTCAGCTGCCGTAGGCAGCTGAGTGAATGACCGACCTGAAGTGAAGTGAGCCGAACTCTGTTCGGCTATTCACTTCAGGCTGGTACGGCTCAGCATGTTCGGCCGACCCGAAATGCAGAAGGAGTTCGACTCAGCCGATCCAACATCTGGATCGGCTGAGCCGACCCTCCGGCAGGCTACTCACTGCTGTTCGGTCTATTCTCATAGATGCCGAACAGCAGTGAATGAATAGCCGAATGCCGCTGAGCGGCTACTGGCTTGGCTGTTCGGTCCCTCAGAGGGACTGAGCAGAACAGAAAAAAAGAGTTTAAAAGTTTTTTAAAAAGTAAGTAGAAAACGATTGTGCGGAGCTAGCAGTGACAGCTAGCTCCGCCCAATAGTTTCCTATTGTCCAGTGGCTCTGCTGCCGTAAAAAAAAAAAAACTCTCCCGGGCGCTCTGGGAGCCTCCCGCTCCCGGCCGCCCAGGAGAGAAACACTGCGGTGTCTTTCTTGTTCTTTATTCTGACACGATCGATGTCAGAATAGAGAAAAAAAATAAAAAATTCCCATTGAAATACATTGCTACATTACTATTGGCTATTGCAATAATGTGTCTACTCTGAGAATCACCAAGATTGCTGAACTTCTCAGTGGTAATCTTGAGCAAGTCCAGCAACTCCCCATAGAATGGTAATGGATTTCCCCTTTTTGTTATCACTCATTGAAATCACTACAGGTAGATACGTAGAGAAGCAGCTTCTCTTCATAAATGAGGAAGCAGTTTACAGGCCAGTTGCCCGTCGTTATGTAAAAAATTCTTGTAGAGAGAAAAATAGACGTACATGTTCCTTGAAATGTTTCTCCTGTGCTTTATTCTTATTAAGAAAATAGTGTCGTGACCAGTCACCAGATATTAGATTTTTGAAGGTTTTCTCTAAATGTTCAGTTTTCTTGAAATGTTCAATCACTTCCTTTAGCTCTTCTTGCCTTCCTTTTATTGGACGAAACCTGGGGAGAAAAAAATAGTATTATGGGCACTGCAGGATCCCACAAATAGTGCCACATCACATAAATACCGCTGGGAAAAGGGCTATTTTATCATCCAAAATTACAAGATATCATTTTTTTTCCTTGAAAAACTAAAGATTATAAATGAAAAGAATGTTTTAGAAACAAAAAAAAAGAAAGGGAAAAAGAGAATACAAATCTGCTTAATCAGCTCAACAGGTACCTTTTAGAAAAACTTGAAGTGTAACTGGGAAGTGAGCACATTCAAAATGATAAACACAGGACAACTGTTCAACAAGTAAAAAGGAAGGAAGGAAAAGGGAGGGATAAATCCAGTGTTACCCCCTCTGCGATGAAGACAGAACTTACATGGCATTATGCCAGGGTTTTGCTACATTCTTCAAGAAATTCCTATCAAAAATAGAAGGTAGTTGTAGTGTCACAAATACCCCGCTGGATTCTCTGCAATAACCTAGGAATCAACAAACATCACTAGAGCGGAAATGCCTGACCAACATAAAGCAGGACTAGTACAGCCACATCAAAAGTAGAAAAAGAACACGTCACTGGCTTCTGGGTACTTCTTTATGACAAAGGACATGAAAATACAAAGAAAAGCAGGGTGTTGTTCTAGGGGAGTTATCTGGCTCTTCTCCGTACTTATCTGGTTTCCTCTACCAGTCTTTTATTATGCAGTCATGTAGAAAAACAGCCATACATGCACTGAAATTAATATGAATACACCCAATGCTTCCAATAACAAAGGATCTATTACTAACTATAAAACCTGTGTGACAAGACTCCAAATGGGGTTCCAGGGTTAACGGTCAGTTTTACACAGCAACGCTATAACACATGCACATTGTTGTGCATGTTTTAGCTGTATCATGTAAAAGCAGAATCAGAGACTCAGAGCAAGAAAGAATAGTTATGAATACAATCATATCCTGTTTAGATTAGTCCACTGCAGTAACACATGCACATTGCTGTGCATGGAGTTAAAATATATTTCTACTTTTGCAGCCAAACTGGGAGAACACCTTTTTAAATGTGTTACATGTTCTCATTCACAGATCATTAAAAAATAAAAATTACTGCCAACACGTTACATGCTCTATTCTAAAAGAAAAGTTTTTCTCTGTATTTAATTTTCCACTAGAATGCAAGGGAGGCTGGGCAGGTTAAGGTTACCATAATTAACCCTCTCTGTACAACGCTAGCAGATCTCAATATTATTTGTAAACTATATTTTAACACTGTCTGCCCTGAGAAAGGGTTAAAGATTTAGAAGCATTGCATGTAAATGTAAGGAAGCTCAGTCTGTCCCTGGTCTTTCTATGAGATTTTCCTGTCAGTTTCCAAAGGCCGGCTACGCAGACACGCCTAAGGTAAGACATATTGCTTCATAAATTATTTTTAGGTATGTGGTGTAAATAGGAACATAAACATATAATGGGATTTTCTCAAATTCGACTGCAAAAGTGGAAACACCCTTTAAGGCAGTCAGGCAGCCAGCATGCACCACAAGGCATATGGTTCATACATGTGCATTGTGGTACAGTACAATGCAAGTGTGTTCCAGTAAGCTGCCTAGGTGCATTGGGGAGTGATTTAAAATGGATGACATCACAACATACTGCAGTGTGTAATTGATGGAGGTGCCCTCCGCACACCTTTCAGCAGTCCCGGCCAACAATCAAATAAATGGTGCTCGAAGTAACTTCACGGATGGCACCGTGCAAAACACAAGATTGAAGAAAATAGGTCACCAGCACTCCATAAGTTAAAATAAATGAGTCCTTTTAATGGACAATGATGTCACAGAAATCCAACATGAGCCGACGTTTCGGGGCCACACAGGGTCCCTTCATCTCTTGCCTTGAAGAAGGGACCCTGTGTGGCCCCGAAACGTCGGCTCATGTTGTATTTCTGTGACATCATTGTCCATTAAAAGGACTCATTCATTTTAACTTATGGAGTGCTGGTGACCTATTTTCTTCAATACTGCAGTGTGTTTCATGCGTTGCGATAATGGATTGTAAAACACGCATTTTGACTGTCAAGCGCTAGTCTGAATAGGCCCTTAGAACACCAAAGAATCAATTAAAAAAACAAGAAAACTGTTTTTGTTCATAATCTGAATTCAAACAATGGTGGGTCAGGAAAGGTATTATAGTAATGTGGGTCACTATAAGAAAACGTACTGATAAAAGCATCAAGTTTGGGGGAACAGCAGATGTGAGGTGACAAAGAAATCGTTCCTTTCACCGCCACATTACTGCTGGTGACACCAGGCCACTTTGTCCGTCACTGGTTACGGCAATATAGGCTATACGACAAAAGTATGCAAAGTCAACAATTAGCAATTACCAATTGTTGTTTTTCAAGTTTGCCGGAAGTAACACTTTTAGAATTTGTTACCTTGTATTCATTTTGTGAGTCTGAAACCCTAAGTAGGGATCCAGCACCAGACTTGTTGCAAGATCATCGTTTTCACAGAGCTCTTTAGCGGTCATCCCTGATGAAGGTACATAGCGGCTCTGAGTTTCAAAAACATTTGTGGCTTCACCACTACCTACAAAAATAAACAGGAATTTCTTAACACAAAACACAAAAGGGATCAACATTTTCTGTATGAGAAATGTTTATATTTAAGAAAGAAATGTAATCAAAGAATATATGAACACAAGAATACAAAATGTCACTGTCCAATATATAAAGAGATGGCGTACTTACACCTGCTTGATCTTCTATCAGAAACATTTTTAGTGCCTCTTAAATTTCCTCTCCCTAATCTGTGCAGCTTGGCCCGACTCCGATGGTGCTCATGGGACAGCCTGTTGCCATGTCTCCTGCCATTCACTACCATGTTCTTGGATTCGCCCAACCACTTCATGCCAACATTCAACCTGGCCTAGTTGCATTTAGTCGCACTCTGAATGGCCCCGAGAATGGGTCAAATAATTGTACCTGTAAACAATAAAATGGGTTAACTCTATAAATCAGCTACCTATATATGCAATAAAAAAAATAAAGAGATTTGATAAAATTCCAGAACAAAATACAAGCATAGAAACAACATTGTGTGATGGTTTTAACATGTTGCCACTTTTTTTTGTAGGGGCAACTATCTGAGATGCTTAATGGGATTCTTGACCCCCACCCAAATTTTCAAATTCATCTGGCAACAAAGCTTTCCTAATAATCACCTAACAACCACTGAGGGACCCAGCTATAGCCAGGGCAGGCAGCATGGCTTACCCAGAACAGTCAATCAGTGTGTGAACACAGGGCCTGCACAACCAGGACCAACAGCTAGAGGGAGCCTGAATTGTTTAGTAATGGAACATTGTGCTGGGAACACAGAAGCTAGAAGTGGCCAACAGTCATTAAATCACTCTACAGAGACAACTGCCAACCTCTTCCAAACATTGTGTACATTGTCAGAGATGAGCATAATGATATTGGATCCATATTAATACAAAAAAGTGATTCACAATGTATGGCTAAAACACAACAAGAAATTACCCCAATAAAAAAAGCAAAAAATATGAAAAGGTTTTGTTTGCCATATGGAGCTCTGTGTACACTAAATAGATCCTTTGCTGTCACTTGTCTTTCCTGGGATACAACCTGGAAAACCATTGACCAAACAGAGCTTAGTAAAACATATTGTAACACTGGCTATTAATCATGGATACAGTCGGGATGGGTAAAGAAGAACTCCGGGGAACATTTTCATAAACACTTGCAGTGGGGCTACCCCCACACTGCAAGGGTTAACTGCTCGTTTTTGTCTAGGTGTTGAAGAAAAAAGAAAAAAAAAGGTTATACTCACCAGATGGAATGCTCCTCGGCGTCCTCATGTCTATACACATGTTTAGAACGTGATGACACAAGAATTCTTAGACCACTGCAGAGGAGGGGGAGAGAGGCTCTAGGGATAGGTCTAAGAACAATCCGGCATGATCGGGTAAGTATAACTTTTTTTTTTTTAGCACCTACACACAAACGAGCAGTCAATCCTTGCATTGTGAGGGTAGTGTGTTTGATGTCTGTGCCCCATTGCGGAGATTTCACTTTACTTCCTGGCTAAGAGATACAATGAGAAGTGAGAATAAATATCTAAAAATTTAGGGGGGAATTTTCCCTCATTTTTGTCCCCATTATTATTTTTCCTGCAACA